ATATATATATATATATATTTTTAATGCTTATTTTTCAGAGAGAGAGACAGAATGTGGGCGGGGGAGGGACAGAGAGAGAGGGAGACACAGAATCCGAAGCAGGCTCCAGGCTCTGAGCTGCCAGCATAGAGCCCCAAGCAGGGCTCGAACTCATGAACAGCAAGATCATGATCTGAGCTGAAGTCGGACCCTTAGCCCCTGAGCCACCCAGGCACCCCTCACTCTTATTATTTACATTTGTATTCATTACCTCTAACCTCAAGTGGCCCATTAGAACTACCTGGCAGACCACATTTCTCTAGGCCATTCATTTTCCTGGATTACTGTTCCATAGCCTTCCCTCCTTCCCCAAACCTCCCTCCAGCACCTCCAGCACCTACTCCTCACTTTGTTGTCAGCTGACGACCTTGCTTTCTCCCCACAATGGGAATAGAGTAGTCGGCAGGGAAGCTTCGCAAGCTCCCATCACCGTATGTGCCCACTCACCTGCATCGGGGCCCAACTGTGTGGTCTTCCTTACTATTCTTATGGGTCTGCTCTCCCCGCCTTTATTTAAGGCCAGCATCCCCGCTTGTCCACTGCATCCTGGAGTTACTCCAGCAACCTCCTCTCTCCCTCCTGCAGCATCATTTTTCCCTTTTCTACTGAATCGTGCCCATCACACACACACGTGCCGTAATTTCTCTCATCTTCAACAGAAAGGTAACCCTTGAAACACATCTCCCTGCTACCTATTGCCCTCTTTCTCTGCACCTCTTCACAGCAAAACTCCTTGCAAGAGCTGTTTACACCCACTGTCGCCAATGTCTCTCGTCGTGTTCTTTCTTGACCTTGCCCTGGTCGGGCTTTCTTCCCCGCCAACCCCGCGGAAGCTGCTTCTGCCGAGGTCACCAACGGCCCCCACACCACCAGACCGGCCAGTAATCAACCCTCAGCCCTCATTTTACTTGACCTGACTCAGCAGCAACTGACACAGCTGATCACTTTCTTTTCCCTGAAACTCAAGCTTCACTGGGCTCCCAGGATAGCAAACCCTCCTGGTTTTCTCCTAGCTCGCTGGACATTCCTTCTCAGACTCCTCTACCAATTCTTCTTCCTTTGCCAAGTCTATCCATCTTGGAGAGCTCCAGGGCTCTGGTCTACATCTAATCTACCTTTTCTATCTATTCCACCAGTTGCTAAAGTCAAGAACCAGGGAATTAAGTATCCCTGACTCCTCATTCTTTCCCATATACATGAAACCCACCCATAAATCCTTCTGGCTTCACCTTCAAACTATAATCAGAACACAACCACTTCTTACCACCCTGGTTCAAACCAGTACCATCTTCTCTCACCTGCATCATTGCTAAGGTCTCTTAGCTGGGCTTTCTGACTGTCAGGGTCCCCTGACCATGGTCCTGCCTCTTGTCAATACAGAAGCCGGGATGACCCTTTGCAAACAGACATCAGTTCACGGTTCTGCTCTTCTCAAAAACCTCTAGCGCATCCCATTTCATTAAGAATAAACGCCCAGATCATTCCCATCACCCGCAATGTTCTATAAGACTGAGCATTCTCTCTCTGATACCAATGAATACAATTCTTCACCTTGCTTGCTTTGTTCCTGCCACGCTGGCTTCCTGGCTATTCCTAGAGCATGCCAATCATGCCCCCCTCCCCCTCAGAGCCTTTGCACCTACCATTTCTTCTGCCCGAAATGCTCCTCCAGAACAGCTATATGGCTTCCTATCTGCTTCTTTTGGGTGTCTGCTCAAATATCATTTCAGTGATGATGATATCCCCGGCCACCCTATGTAATATCATACCGCCTTCCAGCCATCCGGTCTCCCTTCCCTATTTTATTTTTCTCTATAGCATTGAGGACCATCTGATATACCATATGTTCACTTATTTTTAAAAGATTTCATTAGTTACTGTTTGTACCCCAATTTATGAGAAAGTGACATTTCGGTTGTGTCTTGGAGTTATCTTTCTTTCTTTCTTTCTTTCTTTCTTGTTTTTTAAGTAATCTCTACACCAATGTGGGGCTTGAAACCACAACCCCGTGATTAAGAGTCCCATGCTCTACGGACTGAGCCAGCCAGGCTCCCCGAGAATGAGCGTTTTCTAGGCATGGAAAAGAATGTAAGTTATTTGAGGGCAGAGATTTTTGTCAGTATTGTTCACTCGTGCTTCCTAAGTACCCAGAATCCTATCTGGCACATGTCAGATGCTCACTAAATAACTGCTGAATGAATTAATATCTGAAAGCTGGATGAGAACCCTCTTACTTTGTGTCATCAAAGTACTCAAACCCCAAAGGGTTATAACTAGGTCCTCCTCACTGGCACTGTCCCTCGCCTTACCCATCACACTCAAGTCTGAAAACGAGAGGAACAAAAGAACGCTGTGGTCATCTGGCCAAGGGCTGAGCTTGGCGATGAGTACAAAGAGAACTCCAGCTTAAACCCGGCAATGACTGGTATGTTTCATATTAGATCGTAAGTTGCTTTTGACCTGTTTCCAATTGCACCACATCAGAGAGTCTTTCCTCCTAGGACCCTGGGACAGCCGCACGAGCCAACCAATCACGGCAAGAGCTTAAAAGGCGAGGGGTGCCAGCCTTTTGAAATTTAAATCAAAACTCTGGCCTTCGACAGGGGTACTTCCTATTGATGAAGCCACAAGTCACCCAAAAGGTTGTATCGCGCTGATTCCCCGGGGGAAAAACTGACACACAGCAGGAAAGTTCAATTCAGGACTCTGAGTCCGACCAGACAAAATCTGCTAGTGTGACCCAGTGGCTTAAGGCACCCATCTTTCAGGGTGTTCGCTGTCAGTTGGCACAGTTCTACACGGTCCCTTCCCTAACCTAAGGACATCGCTCTATGCCCATGAGACAGAAAACAAAATAATGGTTAGAATCGGCAGGGGTCGGCGCGCCTGAGTGGCTCCGTCGGTTAAGCATCCAACTCTTGATCTCAGTTCAGGTATTGATCTCAGGGCTGTGAGGTCAAACCCCGTGTTAGGCCCTGCACTGAGCATGGAGCCTACTTAAAAAAAAAAAAAAAAAGAATCAGTAGGGGTCCCCTGAGACCAAAACGCTTTAAGGGAAGACCTTGCCTTGGATCTATCCAAGCATCCTCTGCTGCCTCTGGGAGCAAGGGTCCCCGTAAGGCAGCAGGAAGAAGGAGCGTGAAGAGCAAACCAAGAAATGGCACGGGCTTACCAGGCACTCGGCGCAACGAACACAAAGCCTGGCCATGCAGTCGTCCGCCTCCTCCTGGTCAGTGCTGGAGAAAAAGGACAAACCAGATCTGAACAATGACTGTCCTCGGCACAGTAGAGCAGTTAAGCACGCCGCTGTTGAAGTCAGACAGGTGGCGTTTTAAATTCCAGTTCTGCCACTTACTAGCAGGGTGACTAGGCAGGTGACTTAAGCTCTGGGATAAAAAATGACCACATGTAAAACACGTCCCACAGTGCCTGACACATAGGAAGTGCCCAATAAATAGGGGTTGTTCCCAATCGTTCATTTAGAAACGAATGTATGAGCCACCACGGATGAGCCATTGTGCTGAGCTGGGGGTACAGACATAAATAAAACACTGCCCCTTAAAGAGCTCACAATCTCATGGGTGTGAGAAACCTGTTGAAACTTAATGAGTACTTTATGACACGATGTAATAAAATGTTTCAGTCCTTAAGGTCAAACTGCTATGGCAGCAAAGAGGAGGGAGTGGCCTACTCTCCGGGGTGGGGGGGAGGGGGACGACTCAGGGACACTCACAAGAAGGAGACACTTCATCTGGGTCTTCTTGTAGGACAAGGAAGAGTTTTCCAGGCAAACAAGAGAGGGAAGGGGAGGATTCCAAGTGAGAGAAAAGCATGTGGGGGAAAAAAAAAAACACTTGAGGGTATACAGTGTGTTCAGAGAAGCAAATAAGCTCAATGCAGCTGGTAGGTGGAGTGAAAGAGAAGAAATGTCAGGAAACAATGTGACCTAAGGAGGAGGCTTGTTACATTGTGCTTAGAAATAGACATTTTAGTATTTCTACCAAGAGCTCATTACCTTTTTAGCGGGCCCACAGATTCCTTGGAAAGGGCCCTCTCTCTCCCGTGAAATAATGCACATGCATGAACGTGCCCACACACACACACACACACACACACACACACAGAACATTTTAGACCCTCCCCAGGTAAGCGTTCCCTCCCAACGTTAGGAACCCCTGGTATAGACAATGGAGAATGAATAGGGTTTTCATGCAGACTCTGTCACCTTTTCTTTTAGCAGATTTATTCTTAGAGAAAATACTGGATCATGCCTGCTCACTGGCAACATGACGTTTCATAAATGTGATTGGATAATCACAATCCCATTAGCCCCTCAGAGCATCTGCTGACCAAGAACAGATCTTGCCGCTTTAAATCGGTTTTTGCCGTCTAAGGCTATTATTCTTAAGGCCTTCCTCACTGCTTAGGCATTTTCTGTTGGGAGACATCAGCTTGGTGTCGAAACAAGAAGGGAAAAATAACCGACTTGTTGGAATTTCCTGGTAAGTTGGAAGGAATGTGATCTCCTTGGGGATGTGTACGCAGAACCATAGCAGAGTCTAATCTGATTTCCGAAGGAGAGAGTAGAACCATACTGTTCACCCCTCCACCTCTCTCTCTGACTTAATATCCACCAGTTTCACCTCCAACCTTCCCTCTGGTACTCCTCGGCAGAACTAAACTTGGCCTGGGAAGAAGGAAAGGCGTGGATTCAGATCTCTGGGTACTGTCCACAAAGCACAGCTCCGAAGAAGAAAGGGACAGGCTGCTCAGGGCTCCAGCCGGACTTACTCATCTGACACCTCAATAGACGACTTCTTGTAGCCAGACTTGTTCCTCTTCTTCAGCCCAGCTGATTTCCTCCCCATCCTCACCAGCAGCAGGACAACCACCACGGCTGAGGGGACGAAGACAAGGACGGAGAGGAGGGCCACAGAGGAGAGCATGATGCCAAACCCTAGAAGGGGGGGGGGGAAGGGAAGGTGAGAGGGCGGGATGCGCAAAAGGGCCTCCTTTGACATGAGAAAGCTTTTACTTTTGCTCGTGTATTTCTTTTTTTTTTTTTTTTAATGTTTATTTATTTTTGAGACACAGACAGGCAGAGAGAGAGGGAGACGCAGAATCTGAAGCGGGCTCTGGGCTCGGAGCTGTCAGCACAGGACCCCACGCGGGGCCCGAACCCACAAACCGCGAGATCGTGACCTGAGCCGAAGTCGGGCGCTCAACCAACTGAGCCACCCAGGTGCTCCTGCTCTTGTATTTCTTCTGATCACAACAGGAATAAATTCATGGTAGAAGGGGTAGAAAGTACACAAAGGGACAAAAAGAATAAAAACGTAGCCACGGTCCCACTCCCTAGGATTAACGCATTGGTATCTACCCGTCCGGTGCTTTCTTGGAGTACGTGGGTGTGGGTCTGCAGGTAGGGAGGAGAGTGCACATTTTTAGAAGTATGGATCATATTTTACAGACTGTTTTCAGACCCCTCTTTTAGGTACCATATAATAAATGTTTCTCGGGTCATTAAAAATTCCTTCTGGGTGTTATTTTTTAACGGCAGCATAGTATTCTAGCACACTGTGATAGAACCAGGATTGAACCAGGATTGCATGTGTTGAACCAGGATTGCAATGCTAGACATTCAAATTGTTTCCAATTCCTTGAATCTACAAGTTACTTTATGATGATCATCTTTGTACGTAAATCTTCATATTTACCTCTATTTCTTTGAGATAAAACTTTACATGGTACTACTGGATCAAGGGGCACACAGACTCATACCACCAAACTGTCTTCCAAAAACACTATACTACTTTCTACTGCAGCCAGCAGCATGAGCGTGACTGGATCTTTGAAACCTTGAGTTACCATCTTTTTTTTTTTTTTTTTTT